GAGTTTTGCTTAGCTATACCTTAACCAATCATTTTACTAAAATTTAACTAACCAATCCTAACATATTGTAACATGATTATTTAACCAATTATATCCCACCACCTTAATTGGTCTACACCCAACAAAATTAATGATACAGCAGACAGAAACAATCCCAGAACCAGACACAGATTATACAGACAAACTATAGGAAAGTGACGACTACAGTGATAGAACAATACAAAAATGAGGATTTCACATCCCAGCTATTAATAAGTAAGTTCTTGCCAGACAGGATGCTATTAAACTAAGTTTCCTTTTACCTCTAGGCTCTTCCCTTTCTCCGGAGGTGATAAAAATATCAGGACAGGATTGTATTCCTAACAGCCCAAGAGCACCTGATTTCAATGTGACTGGTTTGGAATGTAAGGGTGTAACCGTACATTTCCCAGTTTACGGCTGCCTTTGCTGCTTAGCCTTAGCCCAAGAACAAGGCCTCAGACTGTCACAGTACGAGAAGGCCCTTACAGTGGCAGACAGTGATTTTAATTCTTTCTTTTATACCTCTATAACTAGCTAAGTAATAAAAATACACCTAAATTCTTAAAGTATAGGCCTTTGCAGACAGGCCTGAATATCTATAGCCTAACACAAGTAAATATAATTTTTTTGTTACTGTAGGGTCTGTAGCTGTGCCAGGATTTATTGACATTTTTTCACTAGGATCATTGGTGTATGTTGAGGTGTGTGCATCTCGTATATACAGTCTGGTGCACTGGTTCTCAACCTATTTACTATTGTGGGCCACACATGCATCTCTCTGTGTTACATGGGCTGCATCCACACAATATATATACTACCTGTATGGCCCTGAGGATGTTACATGGGCCACAGCTGTGTGCTGATTGGGCCGTGGGTTGAGAACCACTGGTCAGGTATATAGTAAGATTGGGGGCTAAGGTAAGAATTTTACCCCCTCTTAAATTCTAATGTTGTCCAAAGGCATGCCAATGGTAGACAAGTGTAAATTCTGTTTCCTCGTGATGATGAAGTAGGCACTAAGAGGCACACAAAAAATATAAGTTAGGAGTTCCAAAAGGTTAGCTGGAAAGTGAAGTGACATGCTTTGACCAGAGGATGGTGCTAGATGATTAACAATGCTGTTATCAGGAGGAGTACTGGGCCTGGAGAAACTCTTTGGGCTTGTCTATACTTACGCACTGGTTCGGCGGCAGGCAATTGAACTTCTGGGTTCGATTTATTGCGTCTTGTCTGGACGCGATAAATCGAACCCAGAAGTGCTCCCCGTCGACTCCGGTAATCCTGCTTAGCGCGAGGAGTACGCGGAGTCGACGGGGGAGCCTGCCTGCCACGTCTGGACCGCGGTAAGTTCGAACTAAGGTACGTCAACTTCAGCTACGTTATTCACGTAGCTGAAGTTGCGTACTTTAGTTCGAATTGGGGGGTTAGTGTAGACCAGGTCTTAGAAACAGGATTGCTGAACACAATGTGGTGACAGCTTTGATTCACAAATTGAGGATTCTCTCTCTTGTCTACACAGGGTGTTCATGCTCTCTCCGGATACTGGTATATAATCTTGAGCACCTATTGCATAAGGGGTGCTAGTAGACATACAAAAACTAAGGAACACATCTGAGAGGTTATCCATAAAGCCCTGTACACGTATTAGACAAGACTCAACCCTAGGAATCAAATAGTGCTGAAGAGCAAACTATTTTTTATCTCTGCAGTGGACTAGATTTCACTGCACGGCAGGAATCTTGAGAATTGCCCCAGAGGAGCCTGCCGGAACCTCCCCAGCTGTGTAAGACCTTGAATGCTGTCCAACTACCACTCTGAAAGGGGTAGTAACTGCTGTCAATAAGGTTGCAAAGCCATTTTCGTTACAAACTGCTGTTGTATTCAGCACAGTTCTCAAGAACAAAGTATAAAAGTACTCCGCAAATGCACTGTTCGCCAAATGGTGTCATCTTGGTTACAACCGAGCAGCTTTGTTTCAGTAAAGGGGAAGATAAACAGGCTATCAGCCCTCCTCTGTGTGAACATGCATTTGTTAGCCCACCGGGGTTTATCTCAGACTTGGTTGACATGTTTTTAGGAGCCCCTTGTTAAAGTATGGGCAGCACATCACGGCCAAGTTCAAGTGGCAGGGACAAGAGGAACTGTCAGGAATCGGTCATCTGAACACAATGCAATGACTCTAATCTCATGAAAATTGTTAATGGCTTTGATTCATTGATGACCAACTAAGCACCATGTGCCTTCTCCCTTCCTTGTAGGGGAGAACTGATTTCTGAAATACCCAGCTGGAATTTCATATTGTTGCTGATGATGACAGAGGTGAATTAGTCCTCAAACTTACCGTAGTTGCACAACAGAGCATACCTTACCCATCACTGCCTACAAACTTGCTTAGTTTGGCTAATTTCATTCTGCCTGCTGAAATTCCCCTGCCGTTCCAATGGGCAGTGGTGGTCTTCAGTTTCTGTCCTTGACTGTTGTGCTGTGGGTAAACAGCTGTCACATTCCACTCGAGAGGTGGCCGCATCTCACTAGTGGGTGGAGTGATTCTCTGCAATGAATGGCATGCTATACGTCTGCTATTTTTATTAAACCTAGTTAACTGTGCTCTTTCTGGAGTTAGTGGCCTAAAAAAGGATTGTGTGGCAATTCAAAGCTCCGCTTCTTAATATAAGCTTTGCTTTCCTCAGTTTCTCCATATGGAATTGCCCTTGGACCACACTGGAATCCCAGGTGCCTATGGTTATCAATTCCCCCAATGCTGTGGCATTTGTGT